GCAGCTGACAGAAATGCTACCCAGCATCTTAAACCAACTTGGTGCAGACAGTCTGACTAGTTTAAGGAGACTGGCTGAAGCTCTGCCCAAACAATGTGAGTTTCTTCGAAGTGGTTTTACTAGGGGTACTTATTTAGCAGCGCATTTTTTTGATCTCAGGGCTCAAAGTTGATGAGATTTTTGTTTTTAAATCTGGAATGTGAACTTTAGTCTTAAACACACACTTTTAACTGATTTTTAAACAAGTGTTCTTGGTGTTCGTAGAATTTATCTAGTTTTTTGTGATCATTATAGTTGATTTAGTGGAGTATTTGTTTTGTACTAAGGATATTTACCTTTGTTTGCTGGAAATGATGAAAATGTTAATTTTGGACTTTCTGGTAACCACTAATAAGTTAGAATTGATTAAAAATATATTAGTGTAATTAACTGTTCCGTATCATTCATCATTTCTATGTGCTGGGAATATTTGGACTCTTGAAGTTATTTTGGAATACATAACAAATTGTCTGCTGTAGTTGTAGATTTCTTTAGTTGTATTACTACAGTTAGAATTGCCAATAATTATTAAGAGATGACCTGCCAGTGTTTTAGAGGTTTTAATTACAGTTTGCTAGGGATTTTGTTCAAGATAGAGAGTAGTGTAGTTGAATACATATACATAAAGGGGGAGGATGCAACAACTTTACACTGAGGGTTTTTGCTTAAGATTTTGAAGAATGGGAATATAGGAGGAAATCTGTCTTATTATATGACTTAATATTTAGTCACCCATGTTTTTCTAGGTGTTGACTCCCTCTGCCTCATTTTATATTTGTGTTGTTATACATAGATAGATATTAAAAGGTTTTAAGCCATCTTGAGCTCTCAGAACTATAGCAGGCTTTTAAAATATCCCACTGATAATTATAAAGGTCTAGTACTCTGAGATCTCAACCCTCACCCTTTGTTCACATTTTTGTTTGATAAAGGAGTGATGAGGATGAATGCCATTCAAAGACACTTTAAATTTTTTGAATCTTTTATTTCATTTCAGTAAATGTTTGTTGAGCTTTATGCTATGCACAAACAGCAGAGTATCTGACCACTTCATTTGCTTCTTAAAATAATGTTAACCATTAGATGGTGTGTGGGTTTTACCTGTCTGTACCCTGAGGGCTCCTGCCTGCTCTCAGAGCTTATGGTGAGCCAGAGGGATTGAAAAGATGGGTATATAATTTGTCATTATTAATATTCTTGTCCCTTGTAAACATCAGAATATCATGTTATTAATGGTACTATAGGCAAAATCCCACATGTCACTTGCCATTATGAATATAGATTGTAAGAACACTTGGCATTTTATCTGTTCTTTTGTTAATGTTGTTGAAAACCTGGAGAAATATATGTTAATTTGTTTTCCTTTCACAGCTGTGGACGGAAAAGCACCACTTGCTACTGGAGAGGATGATGATGATGAAGTTCCAGGTAGGATCCTTCACTTGTGGTTATCTTAGCAAGGGAGAACAAAGAGTCTTCACAGATAAACTACCTTGGAGATGGGGGTGTGGGAAGTGAGGGGCAGGGGACATGGAATGAAAACAATAATGGAGTGTTTTTAACTAAGACTTAATGTTTTTTTTGTTGTTGTTGTTGTTTTTTTATTGGTTGTTCACAACATTACAAAGCTCTTGACATATAAGACTTAATGTTTATTGGCTTGACTTCTTTTCTGTTTGGGTTCTCAAAGTATAGGTATATAACCTTAAATATTAAATAAGTAGGTATATGATCTGTGGATCAGAAATAACCTTTGATTCCTACTTAAAAATTTGTGAGTTTTGGTCTGGGGTTGTGGCTCAGCGGTAAAGTGCTCACCTAGCACGTGTAAGGTGCTGGGTTCAACCCTCAACATCACAAAAATAAATAAATAAAGATATTGTCCAGCTACGACTAAAAAAATTTTTTTAAAAAAAATTTGTGAGTTCATGAAAAAGCATGGAGAAGTTGCTTAATTATCTTGGGATATAATAAAATCTGTGGCAGAATAGCTTCTTTGGTAATCTTGAAGCATTTTTCTCTTTATTATTGGATAATTTACTTTGATCTAAAACAAATAATGAAATGAGCAGGAGAATCACTAATATTGCCACTTGGCATAAACAAGTGCATAAGAGCCCAAGAAAACTTTAAAATCGTGTCATTGTCATGGTCTTCTTTGGTTCTGCTTCCCCATATTGATTGGTGCATTGCATTGTTTATTTTCTTTTAATGGGAGGGGAATAGAGAGGGTATAAACATTTAAGTGTGCTTATTAAATCATTGTTATTAATAGCTTTCTTTGGTATTAGTTATATGCCAAAACATGCAGTTCTCAATGTACCAAGTAGATAGTGGCCTCTGGAAATAATGACATGTGTTTAAATTTGAGAACATTTTAAGAATATCTCCTGTTAAGATTTGATAATTGTTTGTAGAGTGGTTTTTTTCAGAATTTTTTTTCCTCCTTAGATCTTGTGGAGAATTTTGATGAGGCTTCTAAGAATGAGGCAAACTGAACTGATCAACTTCTAAAGAAGATAAACTTGAAGAAGTTACTGGGAGCTGCTGTTTTATATTATGACTGCTTTTTAAAATTGTTTTGTTTATGGATCTGATAAAATCTAGATCTCTAATATTTTTAAGCCCAAGCCCCTTGGACACTGCAGCTCTTTTCAGTTTTTGCTTATACACAATTTATTCTTTGCAGCTAATTAAGCTGAAGAAGCCTGGGAATAAAGTTTGAAACAAAGGTTAATAAAGTTCTTTGCCTAGTAAATGGTTTTATTTATTTCATTGACAATGACCCATGCCCAGCAAGCAAAGTTGTCAATGGAAAACTAAACATTGGCATGTTATATGACTGATAGCCTTTGATGAAATATAATTAAAGATTTAAAAATACAGCATAATATAACAAAGGTGATATAAAACTCTCATGCTTGAAAACTTGGCACTCCACAAGCCCTTAGGGTTTCTATGGTTTAACTATATGGTTTGAATATTCCTGTAGGTAAGCAAAGGGTTGTTTTTTTTTCTCTTAATATTGTCTGTCTTCATTGTAACATATTAAGAACCTTATGTGTATCATCTTAATTTTTCCCACCTTCATCTTCAATTTATGAAGTAGGAACTTTGTACTTCTATTCTGTAAATACACCTTGAAATTCAGATTCTGTATCCTTTCTTTGTAGAATAATCCTTTTATGAAATGATTGGAAAAAAAGTGTTTCTAGTAGGAATGTCTCCTGGATCACTTTGTATTTTTACTAAGTAATAATCCTATAAATGGCCAGGGCTAATTTTTAAAAGTGTTAGCATACAGTAGAATTGAGAGTATATACAGGTGTAAGAGTTATCATGTAATGTATACTGCGACCAGTGTCGGGATACTTATAGTTCCATCACCCCAGGAAATTCCCTTGACTTAAAGAATTATTGGAAATTTTGTTGAAGCAGCTATACAACTAAAAAAATTACAAATCATGATGAAATGATTGGGCCATGCTTATAGCTCAGTAGTAGAGCACTTGCTTCTCATATGAGGCCCTGTGTTCAATCCTTAGCACCACATAAAAAAATAGATAAAAATAAAGATATTCTGACAACTAAAACTAGATATTTTAAAAAAATACAAAAAAATAATTATGTATAATCAGTAGCAAGACCAGTTAGAGAACAAAATTATTTCTACTTCTGACAATTATAAATATTTATAGCAATTCACAAGGATCTTTTGAAGGTACTATACTGCTATACCTAAAAGTCCCTATTAGTACCAAAAATCAAAAATGAAGGACTATGTAAAGAGTATTTGCATCTTTACATTGACTCATTTTCTTTAACTCCTGTTAAAGTACATTGTTACAGTAACAATGGACCCTGAGGACTGAACAGTTAACAAAATTACAAACTGGTTGGGCTTTGCTACATTGATTCCAGTTTCCACTGCAACCCCTACTGGGGCCCCTCATAGCTTCCTTCTTGGCAGAGATGATGGTGTGTAAAGCTGTTACATAAGTCATTTTTACATGTAGCTGACAAAACCAAGTAGAATACTATGGGAGGGCAATGAAGTGGGAAGGTCTGGAGTGGGAGACCTTCCCAAACTCTGGAAAGTTTGCATTTCTGTTAATAATGCTGGTATCTATCTGAAATGCTTTGAATAGCATAAAAGTCCTCTATTCATCCTGAGTCTTTAGGATGACAGTAATAGGTCATGCGCTTAAGAAAACTGCTACTATCACAATAAGTGTCCAGCTGTTTGACCTAGATCTATAGAAGAGAACTACATAGAGGTGTAATGGATTTCTAGTCAGACAAGTTTTTTGTTTTTTGCTTTCCTGTAATCTCTTTTATCAGGATAGATAGGGTTATGATACACTTAACAAGTGACTAAAATTTTTAATTGCTACAAAGGTTATTACACTTGACATCTTTAGTTTATGTGTACTTTACTACAGGTACATCCTTTAATTGGAACACTGCCAATCTCATTTATAGGGAAAAGAAGATAAACAACTGGTTCCTCAAACTTGGTGGGAGGTGATACATACTACTAATGTTCACATTTCATCAGCCAGATGAGGTCACATGCATAGTCAAATCTGATGCCCATGGGAGTGTGGGAGGATAATTCTCCCCCAGAGCAGGGTAGTAGATAATTTTGAACAATAATATGATCTACTGTATCCTTGTAGATTTTCTCTTGATTATCTAAAATTCCTTTAGATACTATGACATCAATAGTACACCACTTATTTTATGTCTGGTTATAAAAATCCTTAGAGAGCCACTTTATTCAGATGGGGAAACAATTTTGAAGAGGTGAAATTACTTTTCTTAGGTCACCCAGCCCCTACAGTGATAGTACAAGATTCAAACCTAGTCCTGCTCTTTCAAGGTCACTACCTACTGGAAATAATGTTAAGCTCTGACAGACTAGAGGGGCAGGCAATTCTGATCTGGTGGAAAAAGCTGTCTGCTATTAAGACTAGCTATGCTATGGTAACAAAAACGGCATGGTATTGGCACAAAAATAGACCTTGTAGATCAATGGTATAGAATAGAATACACAGAGACAATCACACATAAGTACAGTTATCTCATACTAGACAAAGGTGCCAAACACACATTGTCGAGAAGATAGCCTCTTCAATAAATGGTGCTAGGGAAACCGTGTGCAACAAAATGAAATTAAGCCACTATGTCTCACCATGCACAAAACTCAAAAGTAGATCAAGGACCTAGGAATTAGACCAGAGACCCTACGCCTAATGTCGGATTAGAACCTGTCTTTCTTAATCAGACTCCTAAAACATAAGAAATAAAATCAAGAATTAAATGGGATTGATTCAAACTAAAAATCTTGTTCTCAGCAAAGGAAACAATAATGTGAAGAGAGAGCCCACAGAATGGGAGAACATCTTTAATACATGCACATCAGAGCCCTAATTTCCAGGATATATAAAGAACTCAAAAAACTTAATACCAAAAACAAATAATCAAATCAGTAAATGGGCTAAGGAACTGGACGGACAATTCTCAGAAGATATACAATTGATCAACAAATATATGAAAAATGTTCAACTTCTCTAGTAATTAGAGAAATGCAAATCAAAACTACTTCAGTCAAAATGGCAATTATCAAGAATCCAAAAAATATTAAATATTGGCAAGAATGTGGGGGAAAAGGTACACTCATACATTGCTGGTGGCACTGAAAATTGGTGCAACCACTATGGAAAGCAGTGTGGAGATTCCTTATAAAACTTAAAATGGAACCACCATTTGACCTAGCTGGTTCCTCAAACTTGCTGGGAGGTGGTACCCATCCCACTCCTCCATCTATACCCAAAGGCCTTAAAATCAGCATACTACAGTGATGCATCCACATCAATATTCATAGTAGCTCAATTCACAATAGCTAAACTGTGGAACCAACCTAGATGCCCTTCAACAGATGAATGAATAAAGAAACTGTATATATACATAATGGAATATTACTCAGCATTAAAAGAGAATAAAATTATGGCATTTGTGGATAGAGTTGGAGAATATCATGTTAAGCAAAATAAGCCAATCCCCCCACCCCCCCCCAAAAAAAAAAAAACCAAAGGCTGAATGTTCTCTCTGATAAGTGGATGCTGATCCATAAGGCGGGTGGGGCATAGGGAGAATGGAGGAAATTCGATTGGGTAAAAGGGAGGGGTGGTGGGGAGGGGGAATGGAGGCAGGAAAGATGGTACATGTATGACTGCACATATGGTGCAACTCTACATCACATACAACCAAAAAAATGAAAAGCTGTGCTCCATTTGAGAGCAATGAATCAAAAGGCATTCTGCTGTCATGTATAATTAATTAGAACAGATTTTTTTAAAAGACTAATTATGGACTAAACTAATTTTCAGCTGAATCTGAACCAGGGCCATACTAATGAGATAGACATCTTTTTTTATCTAAAAGCTCTTAAAATTATTATCCTTTATATTTGTTGAAATAATCAAGCTAGAGTCCACTTGTATGAGCCCCATAACCCTGTCCTATGAAGGGAAAAAAAAAACAAAACCAAAAACACTACATTCTAAAATTGAGAAACATTTTAAAAAATGGTCAGTGTATCTATATGTTGGCTCTGATTTCTTCGTATTCTTTTTCTTCATTAATACTGGGTCCACATTCTTTTGTAGCTTTTCCTGGTTCCCTACTCATATAAGACACTTAGGTAAACATGTTACTTTTGAGAGAAATCTGAAGACACCTAATAACAGTTTTCAGATTTTCCAAAATGATAATTAGAAAATTCTTCTTCTATTCACACAAGTTTTCATATCTCCATTTTTGCAGCGAGTTCTGGGAATGCCAATGCAGTCAACAGAGAAAATAGTGTCATATCTCCAACTGGGACACTTTGAACACCAAACTAGACATTTGTATTTATTTTTTTAATTAGTCAATTTGTTCAAATTTGTTATACATAGCAGCAGAATGTATTTCATTCTGGTTGTTTGTACTTATTTATTTTTAAGTTTTTAAAATTCTTTTATTTATTTGTTTGTATGTGGTGCTAAGGATTGAACCCAGTGCCTCGCACATGCTAGGCAAGTGCTCTGCCATTGACCTACAGCCCCAGCACTTGTTTGTATTTATTTTTTAAAAACACAATTGTCAAAATGTCAATGTGGACTAGAAAAGATGATTTTGGCAAGACATAGCTCTTTGGGTATGAAAAATAGTAAAAACTGTCTAATGGGAAAACCGTAGATGTTTATTAGAGATTCTACTTGTGTTTTGTAAAGCCAAGAAGAGTACTACCTCTGCCTTCAATCTAAAAATAAACATACTGATATGTTTCAAAAACAGGGAAGGTTTCATAAGAGTTTGTATGTTCAGTTAGCAGGGAAGAGAATCAGTTGGCATCTAGCCAGAAGAAGTGGATCTCTATATACTTTTATTCCTTTTTTACTAAAGCATTATAGTGGATGAATCCTGGGATGCATTTCTATTTCTAACATGATAACCAAGGACAGGAAATTCAGTGTTTTTTTTTTTTTGATAAGTCTTATATGTTGATAGGAGGCCATGATGCATTGGAATTCTATCTACTGCCACAGTTTTAGAAATAATCCAGCCTTACCACTGGTGATCAAGGGTGCTACTCAATGATAATGCACTCTAGGGAACATGGTGGAAGACAGGGAAGAAAGTGGGGAAGAAAGGGCAAGGACAAGACAAAAGGTGAGAAACAATTTTTTTTTTTGAGAGTTAAAGTATTCA